AGCGAATACGTGTGTGAAACCCGGCTATTACCTATTGCATAGCATTCATGGTCGGTTTCCAAAAAAACGAAAAAAAATAATTTCGCACTCTTGATACGTCAAGGAAACAGAAAATATTCCGTGCATTCCATCACGGGGAGACGTGGTGTGATGGCCTGCGTCCCTTCATGACCCCGCGAGCTATATATGGTGGTTCTTCACAGCCACAGAACCAATCATGCCTGAAAGGTCAGTGGGTAGTGGCCAGAGGCCAGACGAAGCTCTGTGTCACAAGGGCAGCTACCTGGGCACCTCATGGCTTCCTTTAACTAGCCACCCTTGTCCCTGGAGAGGCCGCATTCAATGTCCGTACATTATCAGATTGGTCAACAAACCGTCTTAGTTGGAACTATTGAAAATTTCAATTTAGATGAGTCTCCGAAACACACATACAAGACCCTACTTCAATCATCACCTTGTGATCTCCATGTCCGACGTCATCCTCAGGCTTCACTCTTCGTGTGTCAAGCATCCGAAACTCGCGGATTTGTTGGTGCCGGGATTGCGCTAAATGTCAAGGCCGAGTGTCCACTTCTCGACTGGATACCGGTTAGTAGCCGACTGTGCGCTGTAAGTCTAGATGGTTCAGCACGGGTCAACAGCTACAAAACGAAGTGTCCATGCTTACCTTTGGTACCCGTGTGCCAAACAAATCGTGGTACATTGGACGGTAACCAAGGGAGTTATCTCGGAGCAGTTACATCTCACTTGGCGAACGCGTCACAGATGAAGTGTCGGCACGCATACAGAAGGCTCGGTTGGCATTTGCCAACCTGAGACATCTGTGGTGCCGCCGCGACATCCGGCTGTCCGTGAAAGGTAGAGCGTACGTATGCTGCACGATGTTTTCCGAGACAGGTGGTGGGTGGGAAAAAAGCCAACGGCGGACAAAATAAGACCTGACACGAGGGTATGAAAACCCTAACCAGGACACTGGATCATATAGGTCGCGTTAGGCTCCCCGGATGGGGACCTCAGGATCAGGGTAACCGATGGTTAAAGACTCAGTGATATGGCTGTGTCGCAAACAGTGGCGCTCGTGCATCTACTCATTATTATCGCAATCTTATCCTAAGTGAATTCTTTATCTTCCCCTTGAATCCGCTCTCAATATTCTAATTTTCATTTTGCTCTTTTATCCAAATGAGCGGCCAAAAGACAGCAACCAAAACTGGTGCACGAAAGTGTATGGTTAATGGTTGTAAAAATCTGAAACTGATTCCATGCATTGATGCACCTCATATGAATAATGATAATGCCCAAAAGAACCTTTCCACGCATAATTCCTACAAAACACCATGAACCCTTATAAACCCATAAAGATATTGCCTCAAAATGCCAAGATACCATCAAGCAGTTACAGATGCAGCAAGGTTGAAAACTCAAACCCGATATTGATCTAACCAGTCAAATAGTCGGAAGCGTTCTGCGGACATGTCGAGGTAACTGAAGCAAATTACGGTGTAATTTACAATATTTTTGTATGTCTACATCAACGGGTGCAAGGGATCGTTTCAGTAATGACTCATGCAATCCGCCCGTGAACCCGCAAAGTTCAATCGGGCATTGGCGCCCACAACGGATCATTTTATGCGCCAACCCGATCCGCCAATTGTGGTCGAGGGCAAAAGTAACTGCTTTGCACGAAACCCATAAGACAAACTAACAGACGGATTGTCCGATAGGTGTAAATAACAAACCACAAAGAAACTGCCTCTTGACGTGATTTGATGGTTGTGTTCGTAAGACCAATAATTAAATAAAAGTGGGTGTTTGAGCAGTAGCCCAATTGTCACTACACACCCAGCTCGATGCAATGGACAGAGTGGTCCTGATTTCCCTATGCAATGGCCGATGCAATATAAAATTCCTCGGTTCGTGTAGGCATCAAAGTTTGATCGACTGGTACTGCTAGGGTGTCCAAACACTGAGGAGAACGATTAGGGTTCCCAACGAAAGCCTCTAGTTATGACAAGAACATAAACGCAAGTGAAGTGGAGATCGATTAACTCGGATCGATCATTTCTCCATTATTTTTACCGACTGAGGCACCAATTTGAATAGAACCTTAAACCGGGACGACTTTGTCTGACTTCTACCCTTTAGTCTTTTAGACATGACGAAATCTTCAGCTAGGTGGTTCAGAGAGCTGTACAAGCCATTACATCACGTCAATGTGTATCGTCATTGTAATGGGCTTCAGACGAGATCATCATGAGCGAACTCTGGGGTCTGTAAATTTATAATAGACAATACCAGAAAAATGAAATGTACATTGGATTTTCAACATTTCAAAAATGAGGAATCTGCGTGAAGTGGATACAGAGATCTATGCGAAAATATGGATGGTCGTAATGTCATTTCGCGGACTATATGGAAGATGGTGAACTAGCCGCAAACCTACGGTTCAGAGCAAGAATTTCTACTCCAATCCCACTCCTGAGGGACCCGGTAGATTAATTCAAAAAAACGTGACTAGTTGGATACTGTACTGGTCAGTCAAAAGTGACTCGAGAATAATAATTTTAAAAGCATAAAAAATTGGATCAAAGAAGTGACCCTATCCCAGTCAGTAAAAATACAACATGCTACATACACATACATACATACATACATACATACATACATACATACATACATACAAACATACATACATACATACATATACCAGTTAGCAAAGAAGCTAGGTTGTATCAGAAGATAAGGAGGGGTACATAGCATTCTGGAAAGTAGGGCGAGGAGTGTCAGTAGCAGTTTATTGCACAAGAAGGGAAGAGGGATGTGTGAAGGAGAATAAAAGCAGCAGCAGTAGCAGCAACAACAACGGCTGGTTAAAACCTTGTCCACTAACCGGATGGAAGCCAAAAGGAGGCGGTAGGATCCGCATTGACATCATCCGAACTGACTGAGGAGCATTCAGCT